GTTAACAGATCAAGGAACAGATTTTTTAAGCAACTTAATGAAAAGATTAGCAAAAAGATTTAGAATTCGTCAATTTAAAACAACTGCTTTTCACCCTCAGTCTAACGGATCAATCGAACGATCTCACCATGTTTTAGGAGAATATTTAAAACAATTTATAAATAAAAATGAAGAATGGGACGATTGGTTAGAACTAGCTATGTTTTCATATAATACAAGCATTCATGAAGGTACAAAGTGTACTCCGTACGAGTTAATTTTTGGAAAATTAGCACGATTACCATCAAGCGATCCGCCACTTGAACACGAAAAATTAGAAACATATGATCAATATTTAACAAACTTAATAACAAGACTTCATGAAATGAGAAACATCGCTAGAGAAAATTTAATTTTAGCAAAAGAAAAGTCAAAAATCTATTATGACAAGAATTGTAATCCACAAAATCTTAAACTGGGAGATGAAGTATTTCTATTACATGGAGGAAAAATTCATAAATTTGCTAATCAATACACAGGTCCACACAAAATACTAGAAATTTTAAACAAAGGAAACGTTAAAATACAAGTTAAAAATAAACAAAAAATAGTACATACAAACAGACTTAAACTTTCCCACATTAGGCAAAATGAATAAGAAAAACATTATACTAAAAATAAGTATAATCTATTTCCAGATATGGAAAATGAAATAAGGAAAATACTACAACTATGCTTATTATTTATCATAATAAGTCTGACCAATGCATTCATAGGATTTGACTGTGGCTCAACAGAACCAAACATAACAACACTATCCTTAAAACAGGTAGGAGATTGCGAAATTGAGAAAAAACCAGTAAAAACTGAACATAGCTATATACAATTAATACAACTAAGCGGTACTACAAAAACTAAGGTTATACAATGTAAAATTAAAGTCAGCCGCCATGTTGAGCATTGCGGGGCATTTTCACACACGTCAGCTGTTAGGAACGGACAAGGAATATACATCCACGAAGTATCTTATGATATATGCAATACAATTCATGTAACAGGAATTTTTTCGCCTACTACGAGTTCACAATTAATAGAGTTAAAAGTGAATTCCACTAATTACCGTAGTGTAACTTTAGCAGGATCAACAAATATAGATGGAGATTGCGATGGAGCATCTTACAGTGACGTCTACAACTCATGGGAAAACGTAATAGTACAAGCATCATACGAGATAACCTTACAAGAATATTTCGCAACAGTAAACTTAGAAACAGACAAAATCCATTTGCAGTCGGGGACAGTTTGTAGTTTATCAGAATCAAAATGTATAGATAGGGAAAATGGAAATACATTTTGGAGCGCTATACCGGAAGATGTATGTAACCTCAAAAAATACGAAGTAATTTATGAAGGAATAGCAAATAAAACATATGAATTAAACAATAATAAGGAAGATAAAGAAATACTCTACTCTTTAGTGAGTCACGATATAACATTCGCACTAGCTGAAAAATCCAGAGAAATGATTTGTGGATATGTCTACATAAGAACTGAACATCCTAAATTAATTATCCTAGAAACAAGACCAGGTGGATCTCCTTTAAGTAACAAAAAACCCTTAGTTCAAAACATGGATATGTTTTCCTATATAAACACGAAATTTATTTACGTTGAACGTCATTTAAGAAAAGAAATGTATGAACTATATTATGACGTTTTAACAAAAAAATGCCTATTAGAACAAGAAGTATTAAGAAACGCCTTAGTCTTAGCAACTCAAGCTCCCGATTTATTTGCATACCATTTAATGAAAAAAGAAGGGTACATGTCAGTTTTAGCAGGCGAAGTTATTCACATGATAAAATGTATACCAGTTGAAATTAATTTAAGAGAAACAAAAGAATGTTATATGCAATTACCTGTTACAAAAGATAATATAACGTATTTTTTAACACCTATAACTCACATTTTAACTAAAGTAGGAACACCAGTTGAATGTAATACTTTTTTACCATCAATGTTTATGATTGGGAACTCTTGGTTCCAAATGTTACCAAAATTAGTAACTGTAGTACAACCAGGGATAATGAAACCAGACAAACGTGAAACTTGGAAATATAATGTTCCTCCTTACCTAGCTACTAGTGGGTTATATTCACATACAGACTTAGAAAAATTAAGAAATCATATTATGCTACCAGCAGAGAAGCCCATAATTTTGAATACCTTTGCAAGAGGAATAATGGGACAAACTATACATAACACAGGCCTTAAATTTTCTAACATACTAGATGAAGATACAATAAATAAAATAGCAGAATCAGCATGGGCAAAAATCTGGGTAACATTTACTAGTTTCGGAACTGTAAGCGCAGGATTTATAGGCGTGATAATAGTAATGAAAACAATAAAATTTATCGCTGACACCTTTATACATGGATATGCATTATATAGTGTTTTTGGGTGGTCTCTACACCTTTTAGGATCCATATGGGACTCAGTAACTAATGTACTATTACATTTAGGAACGGACCCTAAGACTACATCAACAACAAATCAAAACAATAAAGAAGAAAACGAAGCCTCAGCTCCCGCAGAAGAAATTAATCTACTACAGAAGAAAGAAGGTAATATAAACAACGAAGAAGCAATCCAATTGTATCCACCAATACCTTCCATCCATAAAAATTCAACAAACTTTAGACTATAAAATGACACCTTCCTTTATAAATGTATTAAAAACCTTGTTAGAAGAAAACACGAGAGAGAACCTTCTAATAAATTCAAATTATCAAGCACCAGCAGACGCTATGAATCAACCTCAGTATGTTACGGAAATAAAATTCAAAAATTTTATAATTTGCAGTACAAGTGACAATCTAGAATTATCAAGAGAAAATGCAGCGTATCGTTTGATTGAAAAATTAACCAATGGAGAAAACGCATTTTTAAAAAAAGAAACAATATCATTTAAAATAAAACTTATTCAGAAGGTAAATGATTACTGCTATAAAAAAGATATGGGTATCCCAAAATTTTCAATATTTAAAACAAATGTGTCAGAAAGAACAATAAATTGGTTAGTAATTTGCACAGTAGGAAAAATTAAAAAAACCGCTATATCAAGTGACGCCTTAACAGCAAAAGCAATATCAGCCTTAATAACTTTAGCAACCTTATATAACATAGAAAAGTATAGTAATTCTCTTGAACACACGATAGCTGAATCTTTTAAAAAAATGACAGTCATAAATGAAAAGAAAAACTCCTTTGAAAACACAAATCTTCCTTCCACTTCCACATCCAACGAAAATGAAGAAAAGAAAAGTTTTAAAAAATGTACTTTTTGCGGACATCGCAAAAAGAACATTTATCACAAAATATAAAAAATAATTATACTTGATTCTGTTTCAGAAATGGAGATTAAAAATAAAATGATCTTATTAACCTTTGCCATTTTAATAGGAATTAACAAAGGTACATTTCAAATCATACCACAAGATGTCTCATTTACGCAATCACCAGGATTATATTTTGAACCTCTAAAAAATATACAATTCCCTATTGGTGAAGTAAAAGTTATTTATTACATTAACCACAAATTATTATTCAGCAAATTAGCGAACTTTAAAAAATTATATGAAAACACTAATCAAAATTGCATATTTTGTATTACATTAAAAAAACAATTTGAATATAAAATTAAAAAATTTGAAGCAATAATTAATGAAACAAAGAAAATTATAATTGAAACAACAGAACCGATACAAAAAACAGGCATTTTTAACTTTATAGAAAAAAAAGAAACAATTACTAATATCACAATGAAAACAACAGATAAAAATACATTTTTGCAGCAAATTTTTATTTTAGATCCCCCCAATCCAATTGATATATACGAACAATTATTTTCAATTGAAAATTACATTAACACATTGCAAAACATACAAGAAATTCTCGTAGCTTCAATGAATAACAAATGGCATCAATCCATCCCAATAAAAAGAAATATACTAGACTACACTTTAAACACTAAAACTCTTTTAAAATTTCTAAAAATCGAACTTTTCAACTCAAATAAGAATTTATTTATTGTATACTCATTTCCAAAACAAATATCAGAAAGTTTCAAATTATTTAAAATCTATTCATACCCAATATATTATAACAACTCTTTTATTTCTATAAAAATAAACTCACAAATCATCGGTATTTCTGAAGATAATAAAAAGTATTTTCTAACCTCAAATCTTGAAGAAAAATTTACACCATTTATTAACCATGTTGAATTAAAACCAACTTGTGAATCCAATGTGTTAATTAATTCAATATATTATAACTGCGAATTTATTAGTTCAAATGAATTCCCATTTTTGACCCCATTACTTAAACATAACTCTTGGATATATACTACAGAAAAATTAAAACAAATTGACATACAATGTTTCAAAAAGTCTTTCACTAAATTATTGAAAAATAATGGAATTCTAATATTACCATCCGATTGTTCAATAAAAATAAAAAATCAAATATTACCGATAGAAATAGAAGAAATATCTAACTTACCTTTGAAAACACCAATTCTAATACAAGATAAAATGTTAATTGTAAATTCTAACAAAAAGACTTTAAATATATTTGATCAAAATGGTTTAAGTTTTCAAAATCCTACTAAAATCATTAATGTAGAAAAATATGAAATTCAAAATTATTTATCTTTTATATTCATAATAATAATAATAATTAACTTAATTGTTATTGTAATATTGTATTTAAAGACAAAGAAGAAAACTCAAAAATTAAAAAGAAATAATTTCTTGAATTCTTATGTAAAAAACGAAGTTTGCACAGAATTAATAGAAAAAGAAATAAAGGAAACAGGAGTATAAAAACAAAACAAGTTTGACTCAAAATTAATTTTTTTTTATTAAACAATAATTATGTAAAAGTAATATTAATAATATCAGTCAACAAAAGAAGTATTATTCAAATTCTATTAAAAAATAATAATTATATAAAATTATTATTATCCGTCAAGGTCCGAAATACTGAAACAAAAAGAAGAAAATTTTTCTATCAGAAATAGAAAATATATAATGAAATACAAAAAAAAGCACACTTACACGATTCACCTTAGTTCCCTGTAGCATCCATTTCACGCCACCAACAAGGATTGGAGTTCCTAAAGGGTCCCTCGATTCCAACACATGCCTTTTTATACTAGAAATTCCTTCCTCTTTAGTACCGAATAAATTAATCTTCCACTCAAAAGGAATATCGAAACGTAGACTGTAGACTCTGATGTTTAATCGTTTCTCTCTATATACCAATTGTTTAAAGTTATCATCAAACCATTGGTCATATCCACAAACCTGTAAAAAAAAAAAAAAAAAAAAAAAAAAAAAAAAATAAAAAAAAAAAAAATAAAAAATATATAATAAATAAATAAAAATGAAAATAGACAATCAAAAGCATAAAAATATGTATAAAAATTACACGTACTCGAACCAGTGAATTATCCACAAACTTTACTGTCCGATGATAAAGACAAAAGATTTCCCCAGTATGAAAAAACTTATCAAATAATAATTTGTGGTCCCTGAGAATAGTTTCCCTCTTTGAAGCAAATTCAAAAGGTAAAATTATATTATTGCCTTTATAAGTAACTGTAGGAATGTCTAACAGTATTCTCTTATTTCCAACCCATGATATCTGTTCTCCATGAACCTGGAAATAAAAAAAAAATATATATAATAATTCTTAATAATATAAAAAAAATATAAATATTTTTTTTTTTTACTAAATAAATTTTTTTTTTTATACTTACAATTTTAAGTTTGAAAAATTCAAAAATGAAATATTTCCCTTCCAAGAAAAATACGCCATTAGGTCCAACTGAATTTAATTGCCGGACAAGAACAAATCTTATTAAATTCTCACACGGTAAATCAGACCACCAAGCCTTTCCAGTGAATCTCATCATGTTATATGAAACTATGAAATCAGGAAAAAATCCCTCTCTTGGTCTCCAAATATCGTATTTCTTTAACGATGCAGTCAACTTTTCGAAAACTGATAAGGAATTTATAGAATTCCTTGAATTAAATAACTCAAAGTTCTCGGATCCCAGTCTTAAGAGTAGTTTAGTATCTCTTTTCTCTTCCACCTGTTTTTTAGTAGGTACCAAATTTATTTTTTCGTCCTCTTTCCAGGAATGGTCCTCGTTAAACACATTAACACTCTCTACTAAAGTCAGTGTAGAACTTGTCGTAGGTATCACATTATCCTCTTGTCGAAAACATTTTCTGTTCGGCACATCAGAATGTTCACACAATTTTCTTTTATTACTTGTAGAAAATATAACACTTTTTTTGGAACATTCTTCATCTAATTCCATATCATCACCAAAATTGCACTCATTTTTATTATCCAGATCAAAAATTTCACCTTTCATGGAACACTCTTTATCTAATTCCATATTATCACCGAAACTACACTCATTTTTATTATCCAGGTCAATAATTTCATTAAAATTCTCAAAATCATCGAAATGTTGTAATTCTTCATGTAAAAATGTTTCTAAATCAAGGACACGATTAATATCGGACATTTTTTTTAAAATAAGAAAAGATCAATTACAGGAAACAGACCGTACGAAACTAAAATTTAGACACAGAAAAAACAACAACATCCTACCTAATATCCCTACCATTTTCCTTTTCAAACTTAAGAAACCAATTGAAAATTGAGATATTCCTGTGGGTTGTACCTTAAAGTGATAACGAAAATCAAAAAACAAACAAGAGATGCTAAAATCTAAGTAAGCCTGCTTAGAAAATATGCAAGCCTACTTAGAAGACATGCAAGTTGCATAAAAAAAAAAATTATTTGTGGATTCTGCCTGAACTATAAGAGCTAGAGAAAATCTGAATACAGTTTTGGAATCGGCATGAAAAAATACAGCTAAAAACACAAAGAAAAATTAAAATCGAACGATTATTAAGGAAGTTATGGCCAATTTTGTAAAATTGCATGATTTTAACAATTTAAATTTCGTTTTCGCAAACAAAAAATTTTTTTTTTGTACTCCGCTAAAAAAAAAAAAAAAAAAAAAAAAAAAAAAAAAAAATAAAAAAATAAAAAAATAAATAAATACGACAAACTGTAATTCGTATAAACTTTTTTTTGTGTGTCCTTAAGAATACAAAGAATGGATAGAATAAATGCATTATTGATTTTAAGAATATAGATTATTATCAAAATAATTATTGTAATTCATATGAAATTGAGTAAAAAAAAAAAAAAAAAAAAAGATAAATTTAAATGTTAAGCGAAAGTTTTTTTTTGTTTTTTCTAAAAATACAAAGAATGGATGGAATGAATGCATTATTGATTTTAAAAATATAAATAAAGATAATTATTGTAATTGAGATAAAAATTGAGTGAAATAATACAAGCTTGGATGAAATTTTCTTTAAGAATACAAGAATGCATAGAATGAATGAATAATAATAACATCTCCTCCAAAATATAATTGTTCGAATAGTTTGAGCATGTTTCGTTTCTCTCCCATGCTCAATCTAAGGGGGTAGGTGTTACGTCCGTAACTTCTTCACATATACTTACTTTAACCTATAATATTTACATGTTTAATTCCTTTGAATATATTATATTTGTTGTACTCTCTTATATTATTGCATTATATTCAGTATATTCCATAAATATGGTAATTATTATTATATATCTGATTTATAAATTATAACAAATTAAAAGGAAGAAGAGTAATATTTTGAACCATGTAAAAAGAATAACGATCGTGCATCAATTAGATAATCTGCTATACGGAAGAAGAAAGATAATATTTAATCGGGTAAACAATTTTGGATGACCTTCAACGGGGGAGACAGGAAACAGCAAGGTACGGAAGTATCGAGTGGAAGGCCTACCCCGCTTGCCAACAACAATGTTTCTGGAACGCGCAACAGACTTAATGACCCAACTAGCATCAAATCAATGAGGAAGATTTGGTATAAAAAGGGGTATCATTTCTGATTAGAACAGAGAGTAATTTTTTGGAAATCAACAGTCTACATTCAGTCGTCTACAAGTGAACAGTCCCAGTGTTTCAAGTTAACACTATCCCAGTATTGCAAGTGAACATTATCCCCAAGTATTAATTTAACGTACATCGTTAAAAGTGAACTATTTCCCCAAGTGTTAAAATTGAAATCAATTTATTTCAACATTGTATTTTATATCAATTTCCAAAATACAATTTTCAACAATTTCCAAAGAAAATATAAACTTGGAAATAAATTCGAGTTTCTACAAGTCAATATTGAAATACCACATTCCAAATTTCGTTACATCGAAATTTGCTCAAGAGGCGACAACCGTCTGGAACCAGCAGATATTTTTCGGAATACAATACACTATCTCATTAGTGTAAACAACAGCAATTAAACTGAACCACTAAGGACAACAGTCGACGGCTCCTTTACGTCTACTCCCCAACACCATTCAAGATTGGATTACCTGATTATCATCACACATCTATACATCGTTATTCTTTAAGTAAGATTCATAATTTTGTACTCATTGTAATTTTGTCAATCTCTTTTCTTTCTTGTTGGTTTTTAAATAAATTATTCTCTCACATTTAGTAGGCTCATTGACTTATCCTCATCCCAAATTGGATTCATTTATGAAACCAATTTAAAACGAGGAACGTTAGGTATATTTAAAAGGGTTTCTCGTTTTGACGTAACACAAATAAAAATTATTTGACACAATAAATTTATTTTATTGATTTTAATAAACTTAATTATTTAATCCGAATAATTCGTTATTCAAAGCTAATACACTATTTTATCAAGACAAATAAAAAAATATTTCAATCAATTAAATAATTATTTGAAACGAAAATAATGAATTACTTGAAACTGTTCATTTATTTATTTCATTTAAATATTTCATTTATTTAATACAAATAAAAAAATTTTCGACAAAAAAAAGTGTTATTTGGATACAGAATATACGGCACTGACATTGATATAGTAGATTAGCCCGAATTCTCACCAAGTCTCAGTGGCCGTGCGGTTTAAATAGGTGCGTTAGGGGCGGGGGGACGTGAGTTCGATCCCACATGCGAGCGAATATTTTTCATTCTTCGTTTTAAGCGTTATATAAAATAATAAAATTGTGTGTTGTGTTGTGAATAAAAACTGTGTGAACTTGTTTGTAAATAATATTAAAAGTCTGTTAAAATATCAGTTAATAAATATAATATATAAATATAATATAATAATAAATTAATAAATTAAAAAAAAACTAAATACTTAAAAAAAATTTTTGTATTAAATATAGAATGAAATAATTTTTATAATTGATTCAAATAATTATTTACTAGCTTGAAATATTATATTTATTTGATTTGAATAATTTGTATTTGATACAAATAACTATTTATTTGATACGATAAAACGAAATACTTAGGTTTAGTAAATATTTATTTGAGTTGAATAATTTATATAATTGATTCAAATAATTGTTTATTAGTTTGAAATATTCCATTTATTTGATTTGAATAATTTGTATTTGATTCAAATAAATAGTTATTTGATGCGATAAAATAAAATATTTAGGTCAAATAAATATGTATTTGGTTCAAATACACATTTATTGGATTATAACCAAATAAATTTTTTTTTCAGTGTATATATATATATATATATATATATATATATATATATTCTTAGAACAAGAAAATATTTTATTGATTTAATACATTTCATATTTCGTACAAGACGATTAACTTCTTGGTCGAGTTCCATATTTTCTTGGATCAAGAATATATGTGACACTCCACGAGAAAAGGGACCTTATGACAAGAGTAAATAAGGTCCCTTTTCTCGTGGAGCGTCACATATGTTCTTCTCCCAAATATACTATGTCAAGAAAATCGTTTTCTTGAATCAATACTATAATCCCAGTAAAAAAGGATTTTTTAACATAGCGTTTTGGACGATTGAGCAAGCCAAGCCGTCTGCTCAATTGTCCAAACGGCATTTGGACAATTGGACTGGTTGCTCAATTATCCGATGCATTAGGTCCAATCATTCCAAATGTTTTTTGTGGCTAAAAAACTGCTGAATTAAGAAAAAAAAGTACTGAAATGTTACAGAAACTTTAGAGAATTCTTAATTCCAGACAAATACAGAAAAATTAGGTATAAAAATACCTCGAGTGAGAAAAAAGAACAAGATTTCTAAAATATTACTTTTTAACTGACAGTGCAATGCTGTACTTGGAATTTAGTTGGTAAAGAAGTGAGGATTCTGATAAAGAGAAACACTTCATTATCCACTCTCAATACTCCTCATGTGGTAATATATAATTGTAGATTTTCAATAATAGTGTATTAACAATAATATTTTATTTTGATGAATTATCTCTTTTTTAAAATGAGAAACCGAAATCTACAATTATATATTACCACATAAAGAGTATTGAGAGTGGATAATGAAGTGTATCTCTTTATCAGAATCCTCACTTCTTCACCAACTACATTCCAAGTACAGCATTGCACTGTCAGTTAAAAAGTGATATTTTAGAAATCTTGTTCTTTTTCCTCACTCGAGGTATTTCTATACCTAATTTTTCTGTATTTGTCTAGAATTAAGAATTCTCTAAAGTTTCTGTAACATTTCAGTACTTTTTTTCTTAATTCAGCAGTTTTTTAGCCACAAAAAACATTTGGAATGATTGGACCTAATGCATCGGATAATTGAGCAACCAGTCCAATTGTCCAAATGCCGTTTGGACAATTGAGCAGACGGCTTGCCCAATCGTCCAAAATGCTATATTAAACAATCCTTTTTTACTGGGATATTCTTGGCCGTATTCAATCCCACGATTTGCTTCAATCAAGAAAAATTTTTTTGGTTCAATACTTTTTTTTCAGTGTAGCTCTCTACACCAGCATTTTTATCGTCACGGCGTAGACAGACGCGCAGGCGCGCCGTCATTTGTTTCTCCCGTCGATGTGAGGCGCGTCATTGTGTGGGTACGGATTACTACTTTTCCGAGTAAAAATCTTTACGAAATAGTAATAATTGCTCTGATTCATAATAAAAGTTGCTTCGCTCAGAGTATTAATTGCTCGGGACATTTGAAATATTACTCGGCTTTTAATAAAATTTAGATTCCTTGAAGTCAATTATACTTTTTTAAAAAAGTAAAAATCGTTTGAAAACGAATCAAAAGTTACTATTTCTTAAGCAGTTTCAAAATTACTACTTGAAAGTAGTAATTTTTCATCGAAAATAGTATGATTGTTACTATTTATTTTTCTCCGTGTACTTAAATTAAATTAAAATATTTTTTGTGAATCATATTAGATCCAACATTAAAAATTTTTTAAACTGAGGTTATATTCGTAATCAGCGACTCCAAAAACACCCGCGTGACCAGTTTCAAGAGAATACAATTGTTTTTAAATATTCTCATCAGCCATATTGGATCCGGCATTTTAAATTTTTGAAAAATGAGGTCAAATTCATCATCAGCGACCCCAAAAACCCCAGAATAACAAGTTTCACAAGAACTTGATTGATTTTTAAAAAAACTCCGCCATATTGGATCCGCCATTTTTAATTTTAGAAATCTAAGGTTATATTCGTAATGAGCGACTCCGAAAACCCCCGAGTAACCAGTTTCAAGAGAATTTGATTGATTTTAAAAAATAAGTCCGCCATATTGGATCCGCGATTTTGAATTTTGGAAATGTAAGGTTATAGGTCTGACAGACCGCTACAAAAATTTTCTTTGCTTGTAACTTTTTCTCAAAGTATGATAAGAACTTGAGCTTTTCAGTAGCTTCATATTTTATGAAAATCTGTTAGGTGACAACTTTTAAAAAAAATTTTTTTTGTTAAATTTTGTATTGTAACATATGTATATAGATATATATAGAAATGACTTTTTTATATGTCAAAAAGTAAAAAATATTAACAATAGTTCTCTTTAGAAAATTATAAATTACTAAAAAAAACCGTAAAAATGGAATAGCGGTCTGAC